CACGGTATGAACCTCACGGGACGATATTTATTGCGATATCGTGGGAAAACTCACAGTATGATGGGGAAGCTCACGATTAGAGATGTAACAATATCCAAATCTCTCGGTACGATATGTTCACAATATACATCTCATGGTATGATATTTATTGTGATATTTTGTGGAGGCGAACAAAACTGAATATGCTGCTTTTTCCTCTTAAAATGTCTTAATCCAAAAAACTATGATTTGAAAGTGCTTCGAACTGTTATTTCTTCATGTAGTCTACACAGTAATGGAGCAAAGGGTCATGGTCTATGTAGTTCCCTTTGTCTTTTTGTAGGTGCTCCATAACTCTTCATTTAAGCAAAGAAACTTGTAATTCAATATATTGTGATGATCCACGATATTATTGTGAGACTTTTGATGATACGATATTACGATATTTTGGTTATTGTTACATCCCTAGTATTCACTCTTTTTAGATCAGCAATGACACAAATTATGGCCCTCTGAGTTTTTGAACTTTCGGCTCTACAATCTCAATTTAACTAAAAGTAAAATGTACATGTTAACTTGAAAACTACTGCTTCATGACACACACACAACACAAAATGGAACCTTTTAATTGTGCTGTGGAGAGTAAATTGTTTATATATGAGCTACACATTTCCTGCGCTGTCACTTAAGCGATTTGGTTGTACATGTCAGCTGTTTTGAATTATACTGTAGCTACAAAGTTTTAATGGTAACGCTAAATTACAAGACAACCCTGAACGTCTCCCAGCTACACGGCTGATCGGCTCTTTGGAGAAACAAAACAAAAATCAGATCAAGAGTGTACCAGGAGTTACATGCGCATGTGACTGTAGTGAGTATGACAGAGTGTGAGGGTTAGGGGTGAGAGAGGGGGAAGAGACAGAGAGAAAGAGAGAAAGAGGAGGACAGGAGCAGGTGTGCAGGTCAGGATGGAGAACATTAGAGACACTCGTGGGACAACACCTGAGAGAGGACACCGGATAAGGACAGGAAAAGACTCAATACTTCTGGGACCGTGAAATTAGGTTAAGCATCACCAGTCTAATGCTAATGGTGCTTTATCTGCTGGTTGTTTTGTTATTTCCAGTTTGATGGTTTTGCAATTTGACATTCTCAACAAAAATTTGACAACAAAGAATAGTTTATTGTGGGAAGCCAGTGCCAAAAAAACAGCGCACACACAACACCACCACTAAAAATGTTCTACAAACTACAGAAAAGTGTCAAAATTTAAACAATTGTATTCCGTGATGATATTGAACTCATTTAGCCTGATTCATAAGCCAGTGTTACTTGCAGCCTTAGATTTTGTTTGCTCAACGGTAGGCGGGCACTTTTTTAATTTAACCAATTGCTGCTGTTTGGTCGTGACGTATGTAATGCGCCAAATCCCGTAGGAAGAAGGGCAGTAACGTCTTTCCCTGTGATGAAATTCAGTAAACATTCTCTTTATTCCGGCTTTAAAGCCTCAATCTCGGGAATTGTTGACAACACTGAATATATCACTCTTTGCTGATTGGCTGGTGCCCGAACTTGCACTTCTAGGGTTTTTGTGAACCATCTTGTATATTCTGGTTCCTGACCTAGTCGCTGGACATAAATGAAATTGAGCGGAGGCACGTGCCAGCCAGGCTAGAACCCATTGGCCATTGAAGAAAATATTTTGAATGAGCTAACATAAACTATTGCATTAAGCACGCAGCCCCAATATTTAATTTGACGTCACGGATTTCAAAGTAACAGCGCTGCCAGTGATAAACTTTGGTCCCAGTGAGCACCGTTTCTTGAATGTTCCTATGCAAGAAAGTGGGAAAATTCAGTCAGATTTGATATATAGATTTTTTTGCCCAGCCCTACTGTAGCGCCCCATAAATAGAGAGATTTGGTCCGATTTGGAAGTTCTACTAACCCATTTCAATTAAAACAAATTTTGAAGGTCTCGCTGTCCCCAAGTATGTGCTCATGAAGAGTCGAAAGTCCATTAGGAGACTCACTGATTCCTGCTTTAATATGCACTTGTAGAATTAATACATTTTTGTCTTTTTCCTACTACAAGACAAAAAGGCATTCAAGTCATCATAGGTCCAACATGCCAGGATTGTATTGCAATAAAAATACTCTACTTCGGCATTCAAGGTTGTGTCTCCCCATCTGATAAACTCCAGCTAAAGTGTGAGAATCTTGCAGACAGTTTTGATTGAACCTGATATACCTGCACAGACATAATGAAATCAGAAGCCCCGGTGAGTGGATCAGTGTAAGACTAGCTGGCTCTCACATCAGACACTGCACCGGTGTTACACAGCAAAGCAGAATATCACCGCTGGATACTGCACACTGTGTCCAGCCCCTCTCCTCACTTGGAAACTCTATCCTCTTATTAACTAACACCACTCTCTCTTTCTGTGGTTTTAAATAAAGCTGATTGAGGCAAGTTTCACAGTACAAAATACACCTGTCTTGTTTCAGAATCAAAGGCGGTTTTATAAAGAGGAGAGGAGGAGGGTACGTTTGAAATGAGCAAGTTATTGAAGGAAAATTTCTAAACTTTTTTGTAAACAGATGGACTCCGCATCGGATTTGTCTCATCTTTCATCTATTTTGGGCGGCACAAACCAAAGACAGAATGGGGGTTGTATGCGGTCATAGTAATATAATTTCCTCCTATTGTGGTGTAACTTGATTATATAGTGATTTATTTCAGTATTTTTGCCCTGATACATTATTAGAGGGTGTTTATTGGTTTAACTTTTACACAATGGCAACCTACTCTTGCTATATGTACAGTTGGTAGGTCACCTCAGTTCACTTTTAAAGGTGCACTGTTTAAAGGTCTTATAAAATTACTTAAAATTGTGAGCTTTAAGCCATGTTATAATGCTGTTACCTCATGAAACACATACCTGAAGTTGTGTTTTGTTTAATTCACATGTCTGAGTCATCATTTATTTTTAATCTGTCTACATCTCCAAAGCTTAAAATGTTCTGTTCCGCCTTACGATGTCATAAAATGGCAGTTTTCAAGTTAAGTTACATTTTACCTTTTGTTCAATAGAGATTGGCAATTCCAGAACCAAAATTATCCAAACTGGAGTTTAAAAACACAGTGAAGCACAGAGAACTTTCAGTTTGAGAGAAGAACTGAGCCTACATGTGTGAAAGAAGCAAAACATGACTCCAGGTATGTTTTGATGAAGAAGCAACATTATAACAGATCAGAAAATAACGTAATATGGGCCCTTTAATTTTTCTGCCACCGGCTTGCCTCCATGGATATATTATTTCTTTGCTTGGAATATTCCAGTATTTTTTTTAATAACTTGCGAATGCTGCAGATGCACAATATAAACCCAAACTATTTCTGCTTTTATTTGGAATATGCTCCCCAAAACCCAAATCCATTTTTTTTTTGCTTGGTTTTATTTTATCTTGTAATAACTGTAACTTAATGGTGATATGGCTTCACTTTGCCTGCAGTGAATGAGTCAGCTTGCTTCTACAACAGTGTGTCAATGACATTTTCACTTCATTGTGTTTAAATACTGTAACTGTCTCTTTGAAAGCGCCGTCAGGGATAGAAGGCACTTTGCTTATGTAATGGATGGTTAGATTCACTAATTAGTCGCACTGATCCATTATAATGTGTTTTGTGGTTGGGCTCACTCCTTTCAAATACTAAATGAAACAACATTGCGGCATAGACTGAAGAGAATATTATACTGTGTAAGTTTCTTCAGACTTTAAGAGGTAAATTAAGTAATATAGTTGGTCTGAAAGTTCATACTTCATTGTTACAGGTTAAATCCACAAAGTCTCAAACATACAGCTGCATTAAACCGAGATGCACTGAATCACTGTATAGCCATATCTTCAATATAGTTAGGATTTTTGCAAACACATTCATCCTTGTTTTCCCAATTTGGCTATTTTTTAGGTTTAAAATTTTACTTCCATTGGAAATTGTGACCTCACACTAGGGGATTCCATAACTACAGTACCAAGCAAAACTCCTCTAATGTACACAGAAATTATTATCTGACAATCTAAAATCATGTTTAAATTATCAGAAAAAATTAGTTATTATCTGAAATTGTGCAAACCTTTGGGACAGAATACATTTTCAACATACTGCATTGTTAATCTTTTCTTTGCAAATTACTTCTTGATTTGTGTAAAACTATAATTTATATTTACAATAGTTCCAATCCCACCAAATTAAGTCAAATTTAGAGAATCACAAAAATCATATGCACTTGAATCATCACAGGGTCAAGATCATGACTTCATTTTTTTTTAATGCAGTATCGCCCAACACTACTAGAGTTTGTGTTTTTAGCCTATATTCGGCATAGTTGTTTTACCAGTGTACTTCAGTATGTTATGTAAAAGCGATTTCAACCATGTGATTGCAATGATTCTATATGATGTGTTTGAGTGATATCAGAACATTGCAGAATCTGTTTTTGAGCTGGAGGGCAGGTCAGAATGATGTGGTAGGATTTGCTGTTACACAGATATCTCTGTAATTACTAGGCTTATCCACTTGAAACAAAAACAAAGTTCACTATTTTTTCTCTTGGCATGAATAAACATAAGAAATATTTTTGTACAGTCACAAGCTTCAGAAGTGGTGCTATTGAGTAAAACCAAAATTGTGATTGTTGTCAGATGAAAAGAAAAAAGTTTGTGGAGGCAATCCTTGACAGTTAATGATAAGGTTCACTTTTGTGGATCAAGTTTGGATTTTTGGAGTTGTACAGGCCGCTACCCGTCATCTGAAATTCTGACATTCAAGAACATGAATGCAATCCTGTTTTCATTTTATTCAACATATTAACTTTTTTCACTTTTATTCATAAATTATTGATAAATCAGTATTATTCCTCAAAAAATGCCCCGGTTCTTGCTTGTTTTTGCTCAGACCAGTGTTTTCGTTTGTTTCTCCTCTCCTCACCCTGCTCTGCCCCCTCGCTGTTTCCCAGGTGATAAATGCCATAGAGCAAGACTTCCGGCTGCCCGCGCCCATGGACTGCCCCGTGGTGCTGCACCAGCTGATGCTCGACTGCTGGCAGAAGGACAGGAACGCTCGGCCAAAGTTCCCCGATATCGTCAGCATGTTGGACAAGATGATCCGCAACCCCGCCTCTCTCAAAACAGGCATCAACAACATCCCCCCAGGGTAAGACATATTACTGTACTGTATGTAAATGCGTTATTTATTATTCCCCGTTTGCAGAGAATGGTAGAAACACATTTTAATTTACATCTCATTGAATATTGTCATTATGAAATACTACAATTTGTGACTATACCGATTGTTTTACCTGCATTTTGGTCTCAAAAACATTGTGTTTATAACTGTGGGTGAAATGTTATATTATTACGTACTATATTATTTCAATATAATTCAATAAGGTATTATGATAGAGGATGACATCTATGAATATTGTCATTATAAAATACAATACAACTTGTAGCTATACTTCTACCACTATATATACAGACTTCAAAATTTTACCTGTATTTTTTCATCTCAATAACTTGTGTGTTGCATTTTATATTTAAATATATTTATTAGTACATATTTACATAGTATAATATTACTTCAATGCTAAAAGAGATAATTTAAAGGTGTACTATGTAACTTTTCCGGTGGAGCGTCCAACTGGTTTTCTACAGTTATTACAATGCCACCTGACCAAGTTATAGGTCATATCTGCCTGGTGACACCACTTATTTTGAGCAAGAAAAAGATATGTAATTGAATAAAGGCATGGTAGATAATGTGGCATGATAGATTACTTTTAATGCCATACTGTGGAACTTTCCAGGCTAAACAATGACCTCTTTATGGACACAAGCAGACAACAGACCCTCCATCGGAAACGTTACATAGTACCTTTCAAATATAATATAAATAATAGTGGCTCCCACTTCGAATCCCCTTATTGGATCCCTTAATATAAATAATAATATTGTCACTTTTTCCACAGAATACATTGTACACTTGAGTAATTTTCAAATTTTACATTTCCTCCCACATTCATTTGAACATTTTAATATATTAACCTAGACTTCTATCCTTGCCTCTTGCCTCCAGCCCATGCATCCACCCCTTACTGGACCGTGGACCAGACCTGAGCCGGGTGAGCTCTGTGGAGGACTGGCTGGCGGCGCTGAAGATGACCCAGTATCGAGACTCTTTCCTGGGCTCAGGCTTCACCTCCCTGCCGCTTGTTACTCAGATCACGGCAGAGTAAGTCTCCTCCGCTTTAGTGTGTCTGCCCCCCTCGCCCGTTCATGCCATTACCTGCCAACTTGGCGTCTTGTTAGCTTGGCAGAGCGGTGGACAGCTGCTATCTGACTGCTGCGCCATTTGTGCGCGGTGTCTGTGCTCCCGAGTCCTCACTGTGAGAACTTCCAGATTTTTGAGCTCTCAGGGAAAATTAGGCACTGAAAATGGAACACGGCTTGGAAAATAAATTCAAAATGTTATCGGAATATTTAAGACAGTTTGACCATCGTTTACCCCAAGCTGAAAGGTGCACTGTGTAACTTTTCGATTAAACAGCTCTATCTTAGATTTAATCATTTACAGGTGGTTTTATAGCTCAAAATACTTAAAAAAAAACAGACATTCTGACTGTGAGCAACTGTGACTTGCCTCTCCACAGATCTGACCTCTAACTTGGTCTGGTTTGGTTTCTGTGAATATAGAAAAGTTTAATATAATACTGTGAAACATTCCAGACAAAGGAATGACATCTCCATGGAGAAAAGCATTTGATTGACCCTCCACCAGAAAAGTTACACAATGCACCTTTAAGTAGAATTGCCAAATAGGGTTTTTTCCCTTTCTTAGACCAGCTAAAGTTGTGGACTGTTTTTATATAGGGCCATTCTTGTGTTATGATAATATTTTAACTAGAATATTGACTTGAAATAGTTTTTTTTATATAAGGAAAGCTACAAATCCATTACCATTTACATAATTCATACATAGTTGGATGAAGTGTTTTGCAAAAAGACACAATGTCAGTATGGATTGTTCGGACTTGATTTTGGACCCGTAATCCCTCTGACACCCCAATTTCCAACATTCAGTGGAAAACAGGCAGTGGTGTGACTATGTAGAAACATTTTAGGAAAAATATGTAGATATGTTAAACAGTCCTTTCAATCCCTTTTACTTTGCATGTTTTTTTATGGCATTGCACTGTACATTAAGTCCCACACCCACACCCATTTCACAGAGCTTTACTTGGTCCACCTGAGAGCCATTACTGATCCCCTGGACTTGTGGTCAGCCCACTCTTCCTGCTCATTTCCATAGGTCAGATAAAGAGTATATGTTGGCCCAATGGGATTAATTAAAAGCTCTTTAACTTGAGCCGTGGTGAATAGACCAGACAGTCACATGAAAGCCATGACCCAGCTAACTTTATATAAGGGAACTTTACTGCATAATGTCTGTGTAGGTTTAAAACACACTATAAACTATGCTCTGGACAATAAAATCAGAAAGCAGAGTCTTTTTTGTCAGAGAACTTCCATCTGAAATGTACTCAGTAGTGCTTAGATGAAATTATACTGCGCTGGGTTGAAAATAAGCCGTTTATCATAAATGCATTTGGAACAGTGGGTACATTTTCATAATAGGTTTCAAAACATTCAGTCAGGTGGGCATTATAACTGTAACTATACCATGAAAAATAGTATTATCAAACTGACAGGAAAATGACTGTTACTTTTTAAATGGCAGTTGTTTGCAATGTGGTTATTATCTCCAGGTTCAGGGATACGGTAAATCCGATAATAGTGGCACATTCATAAACACGGTTAATGTGTATTGTCAGATACATCAAGGCCTTGTTCTTCAGACCCAGACTGTAGCCCACTATATGTTATTTAGTGGAAGGTTTTAACCGTATCTAAGAGAGATCACCATTGCCATAAATTATACATGTTTTTAAAGCAGACCTATTGTGCTAAATTGACTTTTTAGAGCTTTTAACCATGCTATAGTTGTTTCCCCTCACCATCTAACCTCTCTAAGTTGTATTTGGAGTGATTTGTGCACACTTGAGCGATCTTTATTATCTTATTTTCTCAGTTGCCATGTTGCTGATTAACTCCTGTTTTCACTGTCCCCGGTATACGCCCACTTCTCTGTGCTTACTGTGTTCTGGAATTTTATTTTTTATTATCGGAGTAGGATTTGGCAGTGCAGCGTGTTCATTTTGGTACAAATGACAAAAAAATCTGCTGCTCACTAGTGAGATCTGCAGCTATCTGTCAGTCGCACTGACTCTGTTGTGGTGATGTTTTTGGTGACTTCGGCTCTCATTGGGCACTAGTTTTCTAATACAGAAGTTAGTGGACTTATTATATTGCGATTTTAAACAATTTAAAACATAATGATCCACGGGTGTCATAGATTACAAATATACATCTGGCTAAAGCTGCTGAGCCTTTTTCAATGCCAAAATATCACAGAAATATTGCCTAGTTGGAGTACTGTAATACCCTAGTGCAACTGCTACTGATTTTAAATTGCACAAAAATTACAAGTTTAAACAATTAGATTTTATATGACATAATGAACATAAACAACAGAGCATTTTCTCCTTATTGTCTCTTTAGGGATCTGCAGAGGATTGGCGTGCTGCTTGCCGGACACCAGAAGAAAATCCTGACCAGTGTACAGTCCATGAGGCCGAACCAGGATGACCAATCTCCCACCGAGTCCGTCTGAGCACCCAAGGGAGACAAACTTTGACAAACTTTACACCCATAGAATTGAAATCTACAACCATTTCCAGAGTCTAATACAATCACTGTGGCCATTCATTGTACGGTCACGTCACCACAGCATCGTATATCTGTCAATTTGTTTTTAAAATGAATCTGAAGTCAAGCCTGCTGCTGTTCAAAACATGGAAGAAAATATGTTTCTGTTCGAAAATATGAAGACGCTTGAATCTAACTCTTGACTTCAACAATGAGCTCCGCAGTGCAGTTTACAAGACTCCAAAAAAATCAGCTTTTTTAAAGTCACTGTATATAAAGGACACAACCTGCTATGTGGATCCATGCAGGCCTAATCATAAGCACATCTTGTTGAGACTCCTTCATTGTGTTGGGGAAAATTGCGATGGTTGAACTCAGAAAGAGACCCAACACTTGGCTGGTACTTTCTTCACATTGAAGAGCCTGTACATATATTATGGGATGTTTCCTTCTTGAGTATTTGTCGCAGAAGCGTTTGTGACCTCTCTGTGATTATCTCCATCTTGTCGCTGGAACAAACTTTGAAGTGTAGTGAATTAAAGGACAAGACGGTTTTAAAATCTATATTTAAAATACTTCAGTGCAGAGAGTGGATCATCTTTGCGGTATGTTAATATTACTGGGTTAAAGTTTAGTGTTAAAGCTGCACTTTCTAACGTTTCTGGTGGAGTTTTTGCCATCTGCTTGTCTCCATGTTATTGCTTTATCTGAAATGTCAATAAACCAATCTAACTTGCATTTATTGTATTACAGAATTACAGGGGATTTAATTGCCAAAAACATAGAAAAACCTGGTTTCTTACTGTGAGACAAACAGGTGGCGGACCCCTCTACCAGAAAAGTTACACAGTGCACCTTTAAATTCAGTGAGGTTTCAAAATAGCACTTATCCAATGAGTAGTATGTCTTTCTCATATGGGTCAGTTTGCCCACAGAAACAAGTGTTACACCATTAACAAATATAAACGAAACAGCACAAAATATACAAAATTTCAGTTGCAGCACTGAGAATGTATTTACAATCAATACACAACAAAACCATGAATGAAATTATTATATTGTTGTTATTGTTTTACGATGAAAATGTGTATATGGCAGCTGCATATCACAAAGCATTTTTTGTAGTTGACAAATGACAATTTTTGCAAAGATGATTATGAAAACAAAATCCTTAAAACAGTAGTATTATAGAAATGGGTTACTGGTTTGTTTTGCTCTTGAAATGACAAAAAACATAGGATCATATTTGGCACAAACAGTAGCATAGATGGAAAATGGGATAATAGTCAATCTCCATCCACACCAATGAACACAAATATAATGTTATGTGATTTACAAAACATTGCAGCCTGTTTTCATCTACATTTTGCATATTGTTCCAACAACGCCATTGAAATTGCTTTGCTGTGTAGCCAATTAGGCCTTTATTGAAACTTGTGGAGTCAATAGACTGCACAGGAATGGACACAAGCCAGCAATTTAGATGAGCCTCTGTTAACAAGATATGCCAGAAATATTTCTTTTTCTATCTTGCTTCATCAAACAAAAACAATTAACCAAACGCACTGATCCAATTTAAATGTGTAAATAGCTACGTTTCCATGCGTGCACAACAGATCTCTCAAGTAACTCACACTTCAAATCATTCAAAGTGGGTATTTCACAATCAGAGCAAATTAACGCACTCTTAGCACAAAAAGCACGCCCACTCATAGTTCAGAGACACAACACATTTTAAAATATGTCTGGAAAAAGGTTATTTTCAAAGCTCAGATACTATGGTAAGCTACGGTTATATTGTATTAGTACCAGCTGCTATGACGTATCAGTTGTGAGCACAAAATCTCCTAAAATATATTCTCATTCATCTTTGTGATTTACAAGGTTAACTTTAAAGCACAAATATTACGCATAATTGACTTTTTTCAGCTTTTAGCATGTTATATTGTTATCCCTTCATCTAGGCCTGTCATGGTAACAAATTTTGAAGCATGATACATTGCTACAGAGAAATATAATGATAAATGATCATACTGAAACTACTTTATGACACTGACACAATAACAATAAAGCAGGATAATCCCAGTAAAGCGGTTTTAAATAGACTTAACTAGATTTAAACTGTATAATTTGAAGACATGCTTCAACCAGACCCGTCAACAGAAATTTGGGGGCCCGGGGCAAGAAGTCTCACATGGGCCCCCCTGTAATATAAATAAATAGGAACAGGGTCCAATTCTGGGTCCCTAAAACCGTCCTGAGGCCCTAGACAACAGACCCCTTTGTCCTCACCTGTATACTGCCCTGGCTGCAACAAATATATAGCAGAATGAACCAATAATTAGCCATAGAAGATACTTATTCAACCATTCTAAAAACTTTAAAAATCATTATTGCAAAGAAAATGTACACATGATAAACATTGAGCCCCAAAATATATAGTTCCAGCTTTCATATATTGAACAGTAAGTCGATATAGTAGTAATCGTGACGGGCGTACCCTCATCAAAAACATATATGGAGTTGTATTTTGAATCATTCATGCTTGTTTCATTTCGTTAATTTAAAGTCGTATTTTTACCTCTGTCACAACAATCTGGGTAAAATCGAAACTTTTCCTGCCACACTTTTAAGTCCATAAGTCATCACCGTACTCACTGGGCAGTCAAATTGTGTTCAGAACAAATGCATCGCCCTCTTCACATTATTAGCATAGCAATCCTGTAGCTTTCTTTCCTAATTTGATTACTTTGCCATTGTTCATTCTCATCGCTGATTGGAAACTGAGGTGTAGTCTACGAAGTGTTTTTTTCACCATATATAAATAGATCATTTTAAACTTGCACAATGTAACTTTTTGGTTGGGGGTCTGTCACTCGCTTGTTTCTATGGATATGTCATTGCTCTGCCTGGAATGTCCCACAGTGTGATATAAAACAGCTCTACCTTACGTTTATTCAATTACAGGTGGTTTTATAGCTCAAAAATACCTAGAAAAACAGACATTCTGACTGTGAGTGTGGTCACCTCTTCACAGATCTGATCTGTAACTTGGTCTGGTTTGGTCTCCATGAGGACAGAAAAGTTTAATGCCATACTGTGAAACATTCCAAATAAAGCAAAAACATCTCCACGGAGAAAATTTGACAAGCCCTCTACCAAAAAAGTTACACAATGCACAGTTAAGTTAGAAAATGTGAAAAAGTTATCCCAAGGTGACCCAAAAGCCTGTTTAAAAGATAATTAAAGCCACAAGAAGGCATAATATTTGTTTTTTAATTGTCAAGAATCATAAATCAAGTGTGTTTTGTTTTGCCAAAATATAATTTCCGTGACAGCTGTAAACAGACTCAGACCTTTTTGGTTAATTACTCCTATCTTTTTCTCCACCAGACACGCAGTGATCACCAGTTTGTTGTGACAGTTGAATTTTCCGATTGACAAGGTAGATTATTACTGTTTGCAAATGAAATGACGAGACATCTCCAATTAACATCTAGGGAATCACTTTTGGGCATTTTGCTTAATGCTACATACAATTCGAAATGGTCAGTCACTGGTACGATGGTGCGTAGTGGCAGAGTAGTTAGCCTCAATGCATTTTAGTAAAGAGATTGTGGGTTGGAACCATAGACTGTGTATATAAATGGACATAGCAAACCCGGTAGCCGCTGTGTTCCAAATGGGAAGTGAACATGGGGGCTTCAGGCTCCATCAACTCCGTTTCCAATTGACTTTACATTGAAAAACTGTAACTGCTGCTGTGAGCTTCGTCATTTTGGTCTTGTATGTTCATTTAAACCCGCTCTGCATGATCCTGGAGTTTTAATTTTTGATATTATCAGTAAATAAATCCGTCTTCAGGAGCCAAACACTATGGGTGACACTCCCTTAGTCCACTTCTTTATACAGTCTATGGTTGGACCTAACTATAATCAAATACCAACTCCTCCCAGACTATATATTTCTAGCACATAATCTTGTTAATTAAACATGTTCATAGCTAAAAACACACTATTCCAGCAAATCATTATGACCACTCAACATGTGATCCAAATTGTGTGTGAAAAGTAGGGATGTAACAATAACCGAAATATCGTGATATCGTATGGTCAAAAGTCTCACAATAATATCGTGGGCTGTCACAGTATATCGCATTACAAAATCCTTTGCTTAAATGCATTGGTTTATAGTAGCAATAGCCAATAACATCGGGAACTACATATCCCATGATTCATTTCAGACAACAGGAAGAAATATGTTTGTACTTGAATTCTTGGGATTATGAGGGCAATAATTCACACCAAAATCTTGTCAGGGTATTTTAAAAGCAAAAAAGCATCCTATCTACAATTATATCAGCCTCTCCAAAATATCGCAATAAATATCGTACCGTGAGATGCATATTGTGATAATATTGCAACGAGAGATTTGGATATTGTTACATCCTTAGATCCCTAGATTTTTAGCTTGTAATATAGTCTTGATTGTTGGTTATATACTTAAGCCTTTATTTATGGCATCAGTGATATCTCAGATTGCTGGTTCATTTAACGATGGATTTGAAATACATACTGCAAGGTCATGGCGGTTACAATACTGTATAATGACAAGTATGTGGTCAGTAATTTTGCCTAGTTCATTGCTATTCTGTTAATGTCATTCTTTACTGTAGTTCTTCTGTAACTAACTGGCCAATGTCAAGGCTATAAATATCTAAAATCCATATCTGATGAGCTTCAACAAACCCATTATGGTACTACGAATCAATGAAAACGCCCGAGGTATTACAAGAATCTCTATCACAAAAAGAGGAGACCAGGTGAATAGGGTTTGGGGATTTGAATAAGCTGTTCGAGTCGGTGTCTTTACATAGAGGGTGTATATTGTATGGTTCAGGCCTGGTTTGGCTGCAGGGCTCTCACTATGGGGAGATGTCTTTTATCATGTGCTGGGCAGATTACCAGCTGTGAGACAAGAGCGGCCCCCACCTCTGTCAGCCTCTAACATCACTAGGATTAGCCCTGCGCTCTGATTGGACGAGCTGAGACTATATGTGTGTCATCTGCTTCCAGTCATTTAATGCGTTCAAATGAGGGAGAACTGTGCCCTCCAGAATTCAG